ATTTCCGACCCGGACAATTTTAGGGGTCTACAGCAACTAGCTCAACATTTTATGCAGGAGATCTTCAGATTGCATGGTCCACCTAAAGTCATCATCTCAGACAGAGACCCAATATTTTTGAGTCAGTTTTGGCGCGAGATATTTAAAGCACAAGGAACAACACTTAAGTATAGCTCGTCTTACCACCCACAAACGGACGGTCTGAGGTCTTGAATCGCACCCTGGAATGATTCCTACGTTGCTTTGTGAGTGATACTCCTCGCTCATGGTTTCGGTTCATTCACATTGCGGAGTTCTGGTACAACACCAGTAAGCATTCCAGCTTAGACACATCTCCTTTTCACGTCCTCTATGGTCACACCCCACCTATTACCATTGATTTACTCACTGGCCGCGCTACCAATGTTTCTTCAGTGTCCTCCATCCTACAAGATCACAAAACCATTTTATTAGTGGTGAAATACCATCTTCACCGTGCACGACAACAGATGAAAATAGAGGCAGTTAAACATCGAAAATACACCCATTTTGTAGACGACGACTGGGTTTGGGTGCGCCTTCAAACATATTGTCAAACGTCAGTCCATCGTCGTTCTAGCCAGAAATTGTCGAAGCTATTCTATGGGCCGTACAGGATCCACAACCGTGTCGGTATGGTTGTGTACACCTTGGAATTACCAGAAGGCTCCCGCGTTCATCTGGTCTTCCATGTGTCTAAATTACGGCCTTTCATCGGAGAAGACCCGATCTCTCAATTCTGACCACCGCCATCATCTTTGATCAACACGATCCGTGATCCCCTCTCAGCGTGCTCGGATGCGGAGGAAACAACACTTGACACCGTTCCATTTTCCACGAACCAGAGGCGCTCACAAGAACTCTCAAGAATGCCCTTTCATTCTCCCAAGGCATTCCCATCCACTTTAATTATGAAACCTGAGCGTGTGCACTCATCAACGGCTGACACAACATTAGGCATTGATTCGAGGAATCCCGAGATACGTGCAGATTTAGTGCACACGGCTGGCATGCCCATTCCAACTCTTGTTCATGATTCACCTTTGGATGGCATTCAAAGAAACACAAAGTCATCCCCCATCCGTGACTTCTCTCAAGGAGCCAACCAACTCATGCCACGTAGCAACCTTGAGGAGAAGGTGCTGAGTCAACTGGGGGCCATTGATAGGAATACGACACCCAGGCCTAGAATGATACCTTGGGTCAAAGATTATTTAATGGATTATTAATTAATGTTTGAAGTATTGATCCAGCACTGGGCCATGTTTTTTTCAGTTTGTTCCTCCAAGGTCTCATAGACCGTAAGGGTATTTAAGCCCATTTTTACCTTCATGTGGGATATGATGATTTTGCTGAATTCAGATTTTTCTTAGCTCTGTTCTGGTAGAAGTTAAATCACTTTGCAATTGTAATGTGATGTAATTAGTTATCGATATTACAGTATTACTTCAACCAAAATATTGTGACGTAATACACAATTTAAAACCTTATTGAAAATGAAAAGATGCAAGATGTTAGATTGAATGGTAATATATTTCTAAAGTGTTTGGTGCAGTCATAATAGACCAAACTGTCTCATAGTGG